ATTTTTAATAATTTTAATTTTTCTCTAATTGCAGGTTCTCTCTAAATGCAGATCAAAGTACTGGTCCTGACAACATGTACTTAGAGGGGTCGACTGTATATAATAGTGCCTATATATATATATTTTATATAAAGTACTAAGACTAAAACACCAGGTATACAAACTATTTATTTATGGCTAAAACTCACCAAAGCCAACTTGTACTCTCACTATACTGTTAACCTGGATTTTGTGTATCCTTACTACCTCTATTTAACTTCTACATATCTTCCACTTCACCCATATTACCTAGTATTGCAACTTTCAAATCGATGTCTTAATGCTTTAGAAAGATACTTAATACTTTCAGTTTTGGTATACCTAGTTTGTACTCCTATTTGGCGTACTTGTAAAGGGTTTATATTTCAAGCCATGCAGCTATCTCTACTCAGATAGGTAAGTATCTCAAGCCTGCATACTACTGCAACCAGCCTACTTTTCTGCAACTTTTAAAATTTAGATCTTAACATATTAAATTTAGTAATTGTATGAACGGCTATACTTCTTTTTATGGTAATAAGGATCCAGGCATGTTTTGTAACAGATTATTCTGCATTTCCAGAACCGATAGTTAGATAGCATTATATAGCTTTTTTGTATAACCGATGTATCATCATTTTTTTTTATAGTGATTCTTAGCAGTTGTAGCTTAATTATATACTACATGTACTTATATCAGCTATCTAAATTTTGTTAAACCTGAACCACTCTTAATATCTGAAAACTTTCATATGAGTGTATCTAGAGCTTTGTTGAGTCTTGACACATACACACCTCTATGCTTTGGTCTTCTTTTGGTAAACAGTTTTATATAGTGCCAAAGATGTTCTAAATTCGGTAAGGCCAATTCTTTATTACAGGTTCTATTGCGTTTCGCCACTTTTCTTACTACTTTAATTCTAGTTACTATCTAGTTATTCTCTCAAACAAGATCTCAGTACTACTTTAGAGTTGTTGGTGCTATCTATGCTAATCGAGAATTTACATATACAACCTTCATATAATAGAACTTTGGCAGCATCTATAATTTACGTTAAACTAGTATTGTATTGTATAGAAATCGATAATACCATCTGGTATTATTTTTGCATTATCTTTAAGATTTTTATAACAATACCGTTTTAATATAAATTATGGATACCGCCTTTCTGTAACATTAACTGTAATATGTAGTGTTATCTTTTCTTAAATAAACCTCTTTTCAGAAATTTCTATTTTGAATCCGTATTCACTTGGACTTTTTCATATATGAATATGTTTAAATATTCATAAATAAATATATCTACTAGAACTTGAATCTGAAACTCACTCGTAAAAAGTTAGGTGCTTAAAACACTAGGCTGCAAGATTCTAACTCTAGTTGTTTAGAATTTAAAAATACATATATTTTAAAAGTTTTATACAATTTGAATAACTTTTTATTAGTATATTTTTGCATTTTAAATTTGAACTTAAAATGCAAAACTATATATAATTTTAAATTCTAAACAACTTTTACTTAGTACAAATTTGACTTTTATATATAACAATTGTTAAAAAATTTGGGAAAGTAGCTTATTTTTAGGTATAAGAGGATTTTACATTTTTTGTTCAAAAAAGATAAGATAGCTTATTTTTAGGAATATATAGTATAAAAGCAAGTTGGATTTAAATATATAAAGAAAGAAATATTAGTATAGTAAAAGAAAATCTTAAATATAATATCTATTGAAACAGAGTTGGTAGCAATTTGAATAGCACTTTTAGTAGCACCAAAAGATTTAAATATAGAGTTATATATAGATAGTATAGTAGCAATTATAAGCTTAGAAAAATTATAGTTTAGTTACAAAAATATTAAATTTTGTTAAAACAAAATAGCTAGTAGTGAATTTTATCAAAATTAAAGGCTATAATAAAAATAGATGAAATGAAGTAATAAATAAATTTGCAAAAAAAATCTTAAATACAAAAAACTTCTAAGCTAAGTTTAAACTTAAATAACTATTTCTAAACAACCTTATTTTGAAATAATTTTTATATTGAGTGTTTAACAAATATTTTTTTTAAAAAACTCTTTAAGTTTTAAGTAAGAGCAAACTTAAAAATAGTCATCAACAAAAATCTTAAAACAAAAAAAAAATATATTCTAGCATAATTGGTACAAATTGTGAAAAATTTTAAATATAAAATATATAACCTTCAAATCGAGCAAAAAGTTAGCTTTTCAAATTAAATATTTATCAAATAAAATATCTATTCTGATATTGCTTAGAAGAAGAAAACCTGACTTATATTATACTAATACTATATATATATTAGTTGTAATGAAAATAAAGAAATACATGTCACTCTGGTTATATCGACATTTTTGAGACATTAGTAAAAAAATTTAAAATGTCGGTACAGTGAATTATACTGATATTTTATATTAAATTTTTGAAAAAAAATGTTGGTATAGAAAGATTTTACTATGCTGTCGTTATATCCAGATATTGGTATAACAAGAGTGATGTTTATTAGATTATTTAAAAATATAGTGTAATACAATATAAATATAAGTGACAATTATTTTATTGTATAAAAAGTCACCAGTTTATATATAAACAAGTTATAAAATTTAATAAAAATTAATTAAATTAGTTAAAAATAATACAAAAATTGAGTTTTACCTTTTTTTTTTTTTTAGTATTAAGATGATCTTTTTGTTAATAGCAATTTATTATCATTAAGTATTATTTCAGTTATAATAAAAGTATACCAAGCCACATATGTACTTTTGGTGCCTATTTTAAGTAGTCTGCCCAAAGCAGTAGTACTATGTTAAGAGTCTATACTATCTGCTATACTTGCACCCTTATTATATAGAATACCTATTTAAACCTTCTGATTATATCCTTAATTCCACTATGTAGAACTTAAGACTCAGATATAATTTCACTATATGTACTAGAATATCATTTGTCTATATAACACCACTAGTTTAATAGCCAGACTTAAAACAAGACTAATAGCCCTTATTTATTCTCAAAGTAAACCTGCCAGAGTAGTATGTATTCATCTAGACTTCAGTAACTTATGCTATAGCTTAACCTATGCATTTGGGTCAGAACATAACTATTAAACCTCTATTATTACCTATATTTATCCTTTTAAGGTTCACAGATCTCTGTACTATATTCTATCATTTTCTATACCTTACTTCTTTGTATTGTTGTTCTTCCAAATCCAGATAGCTTGGAAGAATTAGTTCACCCAGATTTGAGTTTTCTAGGCTCAAGTCTGAAGGTCTTTTAATCTTTGATTCACAATTTTATAACAGGTAACCTTTTCTCTGAATAATCTGGCAGCCAGGTTGTTAGATCCCTTTTGCCTGAAAAATCTTTATTATACAACTTTTTTAATTTTTAAGGTCTAGTCAGATTTGTCCTGTAGTGTCAAGTAGCACCTAGTTAGAACAATCTGCTACTTTCTTAATTGAGATTTGCCAAGCCAGTTTTGGTTCACTCAGGCTACTATAAGTAGGCTTTAATAATATTTAATCTAGAAAGCCTTATCACAGGTTTGCACTGCCTATACTAGTTTGTATTTCTTTGTGCAATGATACTGTTACAAGTGAACTATAGCCTTCTTTAAAATATAGTACTTGCAATACAGCACATGGCAACAGGGATTTATATAGGGTCAGAATAGATATAAAGTAGTGTGGAAGTGGAATATTATTTCACTAGAGTGATTCGGTATAGTTTATACAAAAGTAAGATATATGTTTATTAAGATATATTTATTTATAGTACAATATCAAGATATAAAGCTATCCTAAGGTATCTATGCCTAAAGAATCCTAATAATTTAAAAATTGTAGGGAACAAATTCTAAAGTGCAGGAGAGGGTAAAAGCTAGGGTTTATATAGCTTTTACAACTAATATAAATTATATAATAATAACAATACAAAGTAGAAAAGGTATAAAAAGTATTAAACGTATAAAAGATATAAAAAGTATAAAAGGTACAAAAGGTATAAAAGGTACAAAAGGTACAAAAGGTTTGAAAGGTACAAAAGGTATGAAAGGTACAAAAGATACAAAAGGTATAAAAGGTACAAAAGGTACAAAAGATATAAAAGGTACAAAAGGTATAAAAGGTACAAAAGGTATAAAAGATATGAAAGGTACAAAAGGTATGAAAAGTACAAAAGATACAAAAGGTATGAAAGATACAAAAGGTATAAAAGATACAAAAGGTACAAAAGATATGAAAGATACAAAAGGTACAAAAGGTATGAAAAGTACAAAAGATATGAAAGGTACAAAAGGACAAAAGGTATAAAAGGTACAAAAGGTATGAAAGGTACATTCTGTCTATCGTCTATCTTTGTTTCTCAATTGCCGGCTATCCAATAGTCTGTTTAACATGTATTGTAGCTCATTATGATCATCATAATCTTTTGGATCTTTTGGGAATATAATCTTTAATATATTTCTAGGCGTTTACACGTTCTATAATATTTCTGTCCCCTTAAAGAATGAACTTTATGAGTTAATAATTCTGTAAAACTTTTATTGTCCAGTTGATTAAGGCTACTCATAGAGAGGTTTTGAGTATAGTAGAGCTGTGACAGATTCCAGTGTTAAAAGACTTGGTATGTACGTTCAGCACATCTCCAAACATTACCAGTTCGGTGAAATCCTAATGAGGCTCTGATTTTATCTTTAATTTCTTTAAAAATGTTATAATCATTAGCAAAATCACTTTGCAGTTTTTTCAAATAATAACAAATTTCTAAAGTTCTAATCTGTTTCTTTTTTTGACTTCCTTTTGGAGGTTGGCTTAGTCGGGAAGCAATTTCAGTAATTTGGTTTTCCCAAGTAGAATCTAGTATTGGTTTGGCTCTAATAAGAGAGTCCATATTCTGCTTTGTTAAGTCTTTTACAATCTTTTCAACAGGGGTTTCTTGGGTTGATACTTCTGGTTCATTGTAAATGATATCATCTAAATCTGGTTCCAGAAGATATTCATCCAGTAGATCACTTGGAGTTGGTACTTGACTTCCTTCAAGTATAAATAATGTAAGAAGATTAGTTTTAGTTACTATAGCAATTTGATTTCTAGTGAGTACAAGAGTATTGTTTTGAGTAAAAGGGTCTTGATTCCAATAAGTAATTAATTCGGCAAGAGTGGCTAAAGTTTGAGGTTGTAAATTTTCCATTTTGATTAATTTTTGCTCCTATAAATTTGTAAAATTTTAAACAAAGTAAAATTTGACTTCTATATATATCTAAAATATTATTAATACTAATAAGATTATTACTCTATAATTGTTAATAGAATGAAAATAAATAAGACTAATACTAAAATAAAATAAATACTATTCTGGATTGGATTTACGCAATATAAATTAATAAAGTAACAATATAAATAACAATAAATAAAACTAAAAATTGTGTAAAATACAATAGAAATTGGCCAAGTGGAACGTTCACAGAATGTTCTCTAGTAGTCAGTACTAGAACCACAATGTACCGGGTACACTAGACTACCGCAGGTCTTGAACTTACAATCCAACAATGACTATGATTATTTTTAACCACTAAACTACAAGTGTAATTACACTAAATTTCAAATTTGTACTTCTTTTGAAGATCAATTATTTTGTCATTTTTATCCAATTAAATTATCGAATTTGAGTACGTTTTGTCGATTGTGATTATCTCAAATCAAGAAGTATATATCGTAATTTCTGGTTCTAAAATTTCTTGTCTTCTTCTCTTTTCTTTTCCAATATGGTTAAACATTATACTATATCCCATGCTAAATGCAGTTTAATTTGTAGTGCTAATAGAAACAACAACAACAATAACAATAGTAATAATAATAATAATAATAATAATAATAATAATAATAATAATAATAATGAAATTATTGTTATTTCCGATAACGAAGAAGAAGAAAAAGGAGTTCCATATATAGCTGTAGTAGTATATCTATATACTTTTGAAGCTGTGGGTTTTATCGAAGAACAAAGATAATTAAAATAATAATAATAATAATATATGATAAAGTAAAAAAAAATAAAATGATAATAAAATTTTTGTAGGTGTTGTGTGGAGTATCAAACTTTGATGACGCGATTAGGTGTCCTTAACTGAGACATTTCGAGGTTTCTATATTTTGTATAGGAAGAGCAGACTCATAATTTGATGAGTCAGAGAGTAGTATTAAACTGCAGAATAGAATACTTAAAGGCATTTTGTTAGTTTAAAGGATATAGCTTTGAGTAGTTCTTTTGTAATTCTGTATCTATTTTTCTTTTTAATAAAATTAAATATTCCATATATTCAAAATAAAATTAAAAATTTCCTGTATTTTTCCGTCTTCTTTAAGAATTTTTTTCGAAAATTCTAATTTTCTATTACAATAGTGGGTTGCCAATTCAGTTTTTCATAATATTTAGTGAGTCGGTTGCTATTGTAGTACTTCTTTGAAGTTTGGCCTTGTAGTGTACAGAGCTTATAAGCGCCATTGTTCAATTTATTGTTAATAATAAAGGGTCTTATTCGTTTATCCTCAAATTTTGCAAAGCAAGAGGCTTCAATATCTTTTTGTTGTACCCATACTTTATCATCTATTTCAAATTCTTCTGATCATATCTTTGAATCAAATCGGACTTTCTGTTTCTTTTGTACCTTTTGTACCTTTCATACCTTTTGTATCTTTCATACCTTTCATATCTTTTGTACCTTTCATATCTTTTGTACCTTTTGTACCTTTTATACCTTTTGTACCTTTTATACCTTTTGTACCTTTTGTATCTTTCATACTTTTTATACCTTTTATACCTTTTATATCTTTTATACATTTAATACTTTTTATACTTTTTCTACTTTTGTATTGTTATTATTATATAATTTATATTAGTTGTAAAAGCTATATAAACCCTAGCTTTTACCCTC